CGCTAACGTTAATGCCCTAAATACGTGTCAAAATTATCGATGATCACATAAAACTAATTTTTCTATCTCTCAGAAATAGTATTTTTTTCTAGGTAAAAGGTACCCTATGGCCTTTTTTGTACTCCTGAAAATGTGTGTACAAAATTGATTGAGTGAAATCGACCACATAAANATAATTAATAAATACTTTTTATTATCTACATCTGTCAATCACATGTCCGTACGTAACTAATGAAAGATATTCGAGCGAGATTCAAATCCACTAAATGGATTTTGTCAGAATATCATAAATAAATTATAAATTTCGTGTTTTATAAGTACACAAAACCTTCCTCTCATCTACGATTTTATTCTTGATGTTATTTAAGCTCAGTTATACGCCAATGAAGTAATTTTAACAAAAACACTGGGAACTGGGCCATTTTTGGTCATCGAAAAGAAATGGAACGGAAATTAATATTTACATTTCGAAAATAATGATTTTTTAAAGAAATTTAGTGTAGACAAGAACAGCCCCTGATGATATTTATCTTCTATTACAAATATTTTTTTTTCTGTTGCAAATTTTCAATATCCAGTCATTGATAGACCCTCAAAGATTCTAAAACGAAGTTAATTTTGTGTACAAAAACACTCCATCTACCTGACTATACTACGTACTGTTTTGAAATGTTAACGACGATTCAAAATCTTTCCTTTTATAGGTATATGCCTACGTAATAGCGTTAGTTATGTGCAATTATTTTTAATGGAAGAATTCAACGGCTTCTTTATTTCGAAAAGAAAAAAAGAAAGGATATGTTCAAAAAACAGAAGGTAAAACATTTTGACTTGTAGAAAAATCTTTAAAGTAGAACCCTGTGAAAGGTAGGTATTGTCGTCCGCCATTTTACATCCATCCGATGGAGAGAAACGCGCTGTCATGATGCTGAATGGATATGTTACCGGAAATGTATGAAATCTAGGAATTGTATACAATTCCTAGGAAATGTATACAATTTTGAGGCTATTTAATAAATCCATAAAATATTGTTTCAAAGATTTTTTAATACACACATATCCTCGGAAATGTATACATTTCCTAGGAATTGTGTAAAATTCCGTTATTGTACTAGGAAATGTATAAAACTAATGCTTTCTGTTAATAAAATTAATAAAACACGTTAGTAAACTGAGAATCAGAGCTATCTGTGTTTATGCGGTTCTAGTGTGATCGCCTGATGTATATGCATTGTTTGGTTAGGTTACGTTTGTAAACATACATGCAATAGTGACGTTATTGTGTGATTATTAGGTAGATTTACGACAGACGACTTTCTTTAATGCCCTTGCCAGCCAGAGGAAATGTGTCTAATAAAATTTACTTCACACATTTCCGGGCGATTTTAGGAATTGTATACATTTCCTAGGAATTGTATACAATGACAGATTTCATACATTTCCGGTAACATATACATGACCTTTCTACTTATGCATCTAAATACATGTGAATCGATTTCAAATTTACAAAAGCAAACTAGAACCAAAACGTAGCTAAAACAATTGATTTGTATGATAGAAGTAACATTTCTTTGGATTTCTAAATTTATTATTAAATTATATTCATTCATTCGTCTATCTAATGGATCCAACATGGCGGACGACAATATTTATTCTCTATTATTCATCAAAACAGAATGGATCAGCAGGCAATATTAAAAAAAAAAGAAGAAACCGTTAATCTGGTGAAAATAGGGTAGGTATACCTTTGAGAAGGACTAAAAAGGTAACCTATAAAAAGCTCTTCTTTTAGATTTCATGTTAGAGCTATTACTTTAATGTTCAGTATATTTACTTACTGTAATTTTTCTTGTATTTGTGGGTTTTGCAATATTTACAATGGGTAGTAATGTTTGATGCTTAAATACTTGTTGATTTATTCATGTTCTAAGTGTTAAGTTTTGTTGTGTGTTATTACAATTGCATTAAGCCAATTTTACATAACCGGCCGAAAATATATATGATCTCCTAACAATTTCAAAACAGTTCGAATTAAAAATGAAGATTCTTACAACTACTATAGTAACTTTATGATACAATAATAACGACACTAATAGCTACAAGTTCAGTTCACGTAGAATTTCTATTAAATCTCAAATCCTAGTTGCTTGAATGCAGTTCAAAATTCGGAAAATAACAAAAAATATGAACCTACGTTAAAAATGAAAAAACAAATGCCTAATTACTAGATAAGTATGTACAAAGTATTAAAAATATACCGTAGATTGTCTATTCGTTGAAAGGCTTATATACATTAAAACTACAGTAAGTCGACAGGCAAGTTCGAGGAAAGCGACCGAAATATGCATTTTGTTACAAAACAAATCAAATTATTACGCATTTGTAGGTATAATTACAACAAATTATTATTCTCTTACGTAAAAGGACCGTAGATAATACACAAAAGTTTTTAATCATTTAATCAATAAAGTTTCTAATAGTTCCATCCACCAATGATCACCTAATATAGATCACAGTTCCACAAAAATAGCGTCAAGTTTTACTACTTTTGTACAGTTACAAGCAATAGTTTGGTGTTAAGGGCATAAATAATTATGCATTTCTATATTAATGAAGAACAATAACTCTAATGGAAATTTGTCCTTCGAGGTGGTCCATATGAGATTATTATAGAAATGAGTAGAGGTGGTGTTAATAATTGTAGGTGCAACCACGAATGCCCTCAATAAATTGTTGGTGGTGCGTGAAAGATGAAAGATGTTGCAATTGAAAGGAATAGAATACAAAATAGATTTTTAATTAACGGATTACTTCATTAAATTTTTAAATAGTATTTGTACTACTACATCAAATAATGTTGTATGTTATTAATAGCTAATTTTTTTGTAATTCATTAGATTAATAAATTCTATATTTCAAAACATTTTTTTATAATTTTTGCATAGTACTGTAGGTGGATAGAACCATTTACTGTAAACAGAAAACAATTTCAATTGGGTTGGTTTTTTGTTTCGGTTGATTTATGATAATTAAAAGACAAATGAGATAAAGTAAATTCAATGTGTGATGTATTATCAACAGGCTTTTACTTTTCAATGCTACCATTAACTTTTACCCTGTATTTCGAACTTTATAATCAAAATATTACTTAGTGTTAGCAGTTTTGCTAAAGGAGTATTGTACAGTTATATGTAAATAAAATGTACACTCATGATATGTATCAAAAGAATTGTAAGATTTTATGTAATAAAACTAAAATTAATACAACCCATCTTAATTATATCGTACTCGATGGTAATACTTTTTAACTTTTAATATCGTTTGATATATAATTTGAAACAAAGCACAACTGAAAGGATAATGTTGTTGTCAGATATCAGAAGAACGTATGTCACACAATAGGATGCATATTAATAAAATTCTAAATATTATATCATGTGATATATAACACGATAACAATTGTTTTGAAGATATAATTAGATCTGTAGCCGAAACAATATGTTTAGGTATCAGTAATTTTGAAAAACTTATTGCTAGAGGAGGTAAAAGGCAATAATAAAGTTTGCTTTTTAATCAAAAAGATAGAGATTCACTTAAACATTGGTAAATAATCAACATTTATTTCAAATTTCAATGTGATTTCAGGTTTTTATTTAAACATAACCAGACAAAATCTAGGTAGTAGTGATGAGTAAAATTGATTTTGGTCTTGAAATCTTGGTTTTGTGAAATCCACTAAGACCAAGACTGTCTTTATTGAAGATCAAGACCAAATACGCAAGACGAAAAGTTATTACATCCGGTGGAACAGAAAATTTTTTGCATTTGAAATTTTCAGGTTGTTTTGCTAGAATTTAACACTAAATATACTTTACTTTACCACTGTTTGAAAAAAGGGATTTACAAGAATGTCCTCGGAGCAAGTGTTACTTGTTCCTATGTTTGGGTAGTACACGGTTGAAATATAGAGACAAAACCAAGACTTAATTCGCAAGACCAAGACCAAGGGTAAGACTAGAAGCATTTTAGGAAGACCAAGAGTAAGACCAGAAGTATTTAACGAAGACACAAGACCGAATACGCAAGGCCAAGACCAATACCAAGACTGGGTCAATCTTGATCTTTCTTTGCTCATCACTAGTAGGTAGGAAAGTTCAAAAAGTGAAGATTCTTTACGCACGGTAGGGTAAGTTCGTTTCATGCAAGTTGCTATGTAACGAAATCATGCAACGAATGTCCCCCCTCTACTCGGCCACGTAGTCGAGTTCGTAGTAGGGATCGCTTGAGCCGTGAGAGCGCTTCAATGCAACGTTCGTTACAGGCAACTCCGGCATGTGTAGTGTAAAATTTAAACTCACAGTGTACAAATAATTTCATTAAACCAATTCCTTAACCCCTATCCCGGTATGTTTGTGTGTTTGAAGAAGTTTCACTTCAGTAGCGTGTTGAATAATTACACGTTGTATTTTTTTTACTCCTTAGAGGTTAAGTTAAGGTTGGGAATTGTACCCTGATTATATTTCAAATAGGGTAAACTTTAAATTATGTTCCTGATAGTGAAGTTAGTTTTTGAAATAAAACTTGAGATCACTTACGAAATCAACTCATCATATAGAATAATACTTTAGGTTTTAATAAAAAAATGAATTTTATGGAGTTTGTATGTAGTTTTCCCGGTACCAAGTAGCGGATTTGTCTGACGCCATGGCGGAAAGGGAACTTCACTAAACGTTTTGTTGATGGTTTAAATCAGGGCCGGACTGGCTGTAGGGGTGCAAATGCACACGGGCCAAATGACTCAAAAAATGTGAAAAAAAAGAGAAATTAAAAAAAACTTAATAAATTTTTAAAACAAGAGCAAAGACCGAGGCAAAGACAAACGCAAATTTCCTCCTAACTTCTTAAATTTATTTAAAAACGAGTGCTGTTAAAATTTGTGCACTTTCCCTTCTAAACCAGGCCATTTGATTACATCGCACCCCGGGCCAAAATCTTCAGTCCGGCTCAGGTTTAAATGGCAGGTTTTTTTTTAATTATTACATTTGTTTTAAAAAAATATACAAGTATATTATGTTGCGTGATCCTATTGTATGATTTCATTATTTATCACCATTCATAGATTTTCAAAAGTAATGTATCCTATTGTGTTTCAATGTAACTGTGAAATTTAGGCTAGTAATTTGTGAAACCAGTAGGATGCTCCATTGTGCTCCGTCTCTATCTCTATCAATAATGTTAGTTTTGTAATCAGCAACGAAAGAATTTAATTAACGTACATAGTAATTAATTCAACAACTATTATTGTAACTTTCAATTTGTAAACGGAATGTTGTATGGTACGATGCAAATTTTGTAATGATGAAACTACATAGGTACGCATTAAACAATTATTGCTTTAAAACGATTACTTATTACCAATAATTAAAAAAAAAAAACAAAAGAGTAAAAAGGAACTACACAGTGCCCATTTGTTCACCTTTAAATTTACTATAATAATTAAGGAACTATGTAATAAATGAATATGTTTGTAATAGGAGTATCTATTATTGAGTAGGGTATCGTAAAAAAAATGACACTTTTATGACAGAAAAGAAATGTGAGACATAAATATCTGTTTCTATCTTACTAATCAGGGGTATTTATCACCATGCAAGGGTACTTCTTTAATTGAAAACGTTATCTATAATAAATTCAGTAATAGTACAAATGATAATTAAGGTAACTGAAGTGAATTGTCGTTATTGGAAGAAACTGAACATACATAAGTCAAACATCAATTATTCAATATCACACTGGAGTGAATGCTTATAAGATAATATTTTTTATATATATTATGTATATATGTATGTATAGTATAATACGAAGCCTAGTTAATAAGGCAAGAAAAAACGTACTTATATTTAAAGAGATTCTTAGCTATTGATATCAAACCTCAGAGCCTAGATCATTGGATATCATTCTGAAGTGTTCTTGACCTGAAAAATAAATAACACAACACTTCACAGTAGCCTGTAAGCATGTAGATATCTCCATCTACCACAACGTCGATAATGCATACTTCAAATTGTAAAAGTACACCCTTCTAACCACTTTTGCATAGGTATTATAATTATTTTCTACAGATATCACCATGGGCGTATCCAGCTTTTGACCGAAGAGGGAGCAAATAAGATATATTCTATACAATAATTGAATTATAAACATTATTATTTATATGTTATTTAGGCAAAGGTGGAGACTCACCCCCCACCCCCGATGACGTTGAACATGTATCTATGTTTGGTGCGAAAATGACAACTTCATGGTAGTAATGCTGTAATAATAATATATTATGAGTTATAGTCATGATGATTATGGAGCTTTGGTTACGTAGATTGATGATAGAGTGAAGTTTTTTAAGGTCCCTGCCCGCCCGAGGCGACTTGATATGTTGGAATAATATCACGAGGTTAGGTTACGTTAATTGAGGTTAGATTACAACCTCTGCTTTCTCTCTTGCCCAATGTTGCCTATTGAAGGTATATAATGTCATCTTTTTTTCATTTTTCAAAGCATAATTACACCACGAAGATGTCATTTTCGCTTAAAAACTTTTGGGTGTTTCATTCCCACCAGCCAGTAATGCTGGTGGGCGGGCAGTCCTTCCGGACTACGCTGGAAGGTAGGGCGGAAGGCCCTCTTCAGCCTACTTTCAGGAATTGTGGGAATGGGTGGGTTGTGGTTCGGGTAAGAAAGATGAGACGGACGAAATGAAGATAGAAGAGAATGAAAGATTATCTGTGGAATATTACTGTCCCAGCATTTGCCTAAGTGATCCAAGGAAACCACAGAGAAAAAATTGGACCAAGGCAGACGGACGCGGAATCGAACCGGCGTCCTCCCGAATTCTAAGCAATGTTCTGGACCTCTAGGCCATGACGCTCGGTGTCATTTTCGCGCCCGACATGCATATATATATTTGTTCAAGCTCAAGGTCATCGGGGGTGGGGGTTAATCTACACCTTCCACCTCCACCTGCCACCTCCTTGTCACGCCCATGGATATCACCCTACGTTTAGGTTGTCCTCATTTGAGTTTTCACTAAAGGTATTTGTGAAACGTAGGACAGCATCCAAATTTAAAGATTTTAATCGTGAATATAAACTCAGTATACACCCTGTGTATGCATGTCTAACAAATTGACCGGACAAGCTGCTTCAATCTGAACGAATTTTAACTAAAACCACTTAATAAACTTTGAATTATAAATTACATCGTCTATTACCCCGATCCGATATTCCTTAGGGATACAAAATTTCTTCTAAGCACACTGATTCATTTAAGACACGCGCTTTTTTTTAAACCAACCTTAATTCGTAAACATAATTTTTAATCTATTAAAGGTAGAACATCCAAGACCGCCTATTTATTTACTCCCGTTGTATTTTTGATATTAGAAGACGAAAATAGAATAGGAAAACAAAATAAATGACTTACTTTCGAGGTACGCCCCTAGATCATGATCGTTAGCTTGGATGGCCAGAAGCCTGGGGGTGAGCCCGTTTTGGTCTTTCACTTCCAGAGAAGCTCCAGCCGCGATTAGCATACAACAGATGTTGCGACATTTGTAAGAAGCGGCTTTATGTAGAGCGGTCTGGCCCCTGTAACGATAAAAAAGTTTTAGATTATGTATTCTCAATTTTAATAAATTTGGAAGTCAATATACGTATGGTAGGTATGTAAGTGCGTTCCATTTTAGAAACATTTTTGAGTAGGAAATACCACAAATGGCCCGGTAAACGCCATCTGTAGTACGATGCTATATTTTAGGATTACGTATGCTCCAACAAAGTCTGTTTAAATATATGGATATCTACTTGCTGAAACGAATCCCGAGTATTTAGTAGAATTGTTTCATTAATTTTGAGCGACTCACTTAACGTGCTTGACGCAGTGCAAAACTTTTTACAAATCAATCAAATGGTAAGAAACATAGCTCATCAACTAATAGTGGAAGCTGATGAACGGGGAATGGAAATATCGTAGCTTGGATACCATCTCACTCTGGGCATCCATAGAAACGACGAAGCAGACAAACTTGCCAAAAGAAAAAGCGCTACTGGCTATATGTCACTGAGAAATATCGGGTTGTTCGGAAAGTCATTTCGTTCTTTCCCGACAGAGGATTTAATTGTATTCTTTTGCACCCAACTTCACATTTAAGCCGTATAATTTTTATATGCTTTGAGAGCTCATATAGCAAGGCTTGTGTGCGAAAAATTGTAATTACTTCTACGCAGTAGTTTTTGGTTGGTGCCCTTTTAAATATGGAGAGCGATAAGTAGCATTTTCGACATATCTTACTGTTTTACTACAGAAAGGGTAAAAATGCTGTTCAAGCCAGAAAGAAATTGACTGATGTGTATGGAGAAGGTGTGTTGACAGTACGCCAGTGCCAGAACTGGTTCGCTAAATTTCGATCCGGCAATTTTGATGTCGAAGATGCACCACGTTCGGGAAGGCCGGTTGAAGCTGATAAAGACGCGATAAAGGCATTAGTTGATGTGAACCGGCGAATAACAACACGTGAGATCGGATTGAGGTTAAATTTATCAAATTCAACAGTTTATGACCACTTGAAAGGCCTGGGATTATCCTCGAAGCTCGATGTATGGGTTCCCCATGTTCTCACAGAGAGAAATCTGTGTCGCCGCATTGACGTCTGCGATTCGCTTCTCAAACGTCACGAAAATGATCCGTTTTTGAAGCGCATCATCACTGGGGACGAAAAATGGGTTGTATACAACAACGTCAAACGCAAGAGGTCATGGAGCAAAAAAGATGAACCGGCTCAAACCATTTCCAAAGCCGATATTCACCAAAAAAAGGTGATGCTGTCTGTTTGGTGGGATTTTAAAGGAATCGTTTTTTTTGAGCTTTTACCGGATAACACAACGATTAATTCGGAAGTCTACTGTCATCAGCTGGACAAACTGAATGATGCACTTCAACAGAAAAGGTCAGAACTAATCAACAGGAAAGGTGTAGTGTTTCACCAAGACAACGCGAGACCTCACACAAGTTTGGTCACTCGCCAAAAGCTTTTACAGCTTGAATGGGATACAATGCTACACCCACCATATTCTCCAGACCTGGCACCATCGGATTATTATTTGTTCCGGTCACTCCAAAATTTTTTAGACGGTAAAACCTTCACCTCAAATGAGGAGGTCAAAAACCTCCTCGATCAGTTTTTTGCCAGCAAAGACCAAAAATTTTATGAGCGTGGAATTATGCTACTACCAGAAAGATGGCAAAAGGTGTTGGACCAGAACGGTCAATATATAATTTAATAAAGTATTTGTTTATTATACGAAAACTGTCTTTCATTTCCACAAAAAAAAACGAAATGACTTTCCGTTCAACCCTATAGAACAACATCTGACTAGAAAATTCCCTTAAGAAAACTGTAGCAGATTAGAATAGATGTCTTCGAAAAATTTTCAAATTCAAATCTCAAACGTAAAGAAGAGGTACGCATGCAAAGACTCCGAATAGGCCATGCTAATCTAACTCATGTACACTTAGTTACAAATAAACTTCTTCCGATATGTACAAAATGTAATATGAACCCCATCCTATCAGTGGGACACATTATCAACGACTACCCTTGACTGAGTGCACAAAAGAAGGAAACATAGTTTAACTACATCGTTTACTGAGAACCTGAATAATCTAAAACTACCTACATAAAAATGTACTAGAATTTCTTCGAGACTTCACATTGTAAGACAGAATTTAAAGGTTTGAATCATGTAATAATACCATGTAAATGCAATTATGTATAGTCGCTCATGACCTAGCAGTTAATGCGACTTAAAACTATTCATTATCATAAGGTCGTCAGTTCTAAGACTGGTTGGACACGTACCTCCATTCTTTCCTATCCCGAGCTAATCTTCACATTTCCCTAAAACTGGAACAACCCGCATCCCTAACTATTTGCGAACAGTAATCTAATCTAGGCCTAGCTGTACCCCTCTTAACTCCCGTTTCTGCCTCTAATATGTCTCTGACTGGACCTTCATACCTGAGAAGGTGTCCTACCAATAAATCTCGCCTATTTCTTATTGACTTCCATAGAATCCTCTGTTCTACTATTTTTTCTAATACTTCTTCAATTCTAACCTTCTCTATCTACGGTATACTCAATATTCGTCTGAAACACCACATTTATAACCTCTAACCTCTTCTTTTCCGCCGTGCCCACTGTCCATGTTTCGCATCAGTACAGAGCCGCGCTTCAACCATACACCTTTAACTTTTTCGAATTTCTAAATTAACCGTTCGAGAGCATAGAAGTGACTTCTTTTTATTGAAGGCCCTGCGCTATCCTCTGTTTTATATTCTTACTACTCCTGACTTATCTGACTTCCTAGATACCTATAATTAATCAGCTACTTCTTCTAAAACTATTATATAAAAAAATATTCTGTGCAGTCTTTATTTTTGTGGTATCGGTGATTGGTTTTGAAAATAATTAGATTAAATGTTATTTATTATTTCCAAATTGGTTGAGTTGTTTTCTAGGACTAATCAAAAATGCACAAGTCAAAGGTATAAATACAACAACGTTTCGGGTTTTTATTAAAAGATCTCGTCAATTTTTAGAATTTGTTAGTACCTACAACCAGTACAACCTTTAATGTTAGTTGTAACCATTTATTTAGGTTACGATTAAATGAATTACCAAACCAAAAAAGGGATCAATGTTAACATCACTTTACTTTATTCAACAGTGGCCCCCAAGATCATTTGGGTTGGCTACTCCTGTATTAGAGAATTCGTTACAAGAAGTTTTAAAAGTTTGACTACATCTTTGTATTTCACCGAATGTTTTGGTACTCTGTTTGATGACAATTTATTTCTCTCTGTAGTCACTGTAGACTAACGGAATAAATGATTCAATAAAATGGTCTCCAGGTGCAGATTAAGGATGAAAAGAAAGGAATAAAGAACAAGACATACGTCTTGTTCTACTTTGCAGGAGGTAATAAATGCTCAGCTGGTTAAACTTGTCTTTCTCCCTGCATCAGTGTCTTCTATCATTCCCCTCACAGTAGATGCATCAATCTCCAACTTTATTTCATGTGTCACTGATTTTTTTAAATGCACTATTTAGTACGAAATTGAGATTGATATACTTTAGTCACTGGAAGAAATGTTAGATCAAAAACGAAACGAATAAGAGAACAAGGTTTAATTTAAATTTGCGGGAAATTTTAGACTTTTAATAACTGACGAAAGAAGAAACCGTTCAATTAGAAGGAGACTTAATTACATTTTAATAATTAAAACAAAGCACGTAATGAATACGTTAACATAATTGATCCAATAAGCTTTATTGAAGATGTCGATACTTTTGAGAAGTGACGCCTAATACAACACGAAGCTTGATGTGTTGAAATTTCATTTTGGAATCTAAATTTATCACGTGTTCAATGCAACTTTAAAACTAGGTACTTGTTTGAATGTACAGGGTGATTTTGTTTTTGTAAATCAGAGAGTAGCAGCGATAAAGTTAATAAATCAACAGGGTTGTAGTTATCAATAATGAATTACCAGACAGAATATCCAATACGTTCGACTCGAGGAGATAGGAGATAGAAAAGAGACAAAAAGGCGAAAACCTGATACTCTTCAGTAGATGTTTTCACAGTAAAAACTTATTTTGGATTTATTTTGCCAACAGATTTCGTAAATGACAATGTCAAGCTGGAATGGTGTGTCACGTCATCATCAATGCAAGACCTAAATGGTACAAGCAAGAGGCTGACTTGCGCCAATTCCAATCACACTTATCAAACAAGAAGTTACAACCCAAGCAAAAAATTAAGCCGATGAGGATCAATATGTCCCACACAAAACATGACTACTGGTTTTCCTACTGTTTATATCTATTTAAAGAAAATAATACAGTCATACCAAGAACAATTTTTAGGCATTTAGAAACAAGAATTTCTTAATAATTTTGTTTAAAGAAATGTAATAGATGAAGGAAAAAGAAATAAACGAGACAAGTCTAACTAGCTTAGGTCTCAACCTCACTACATTTTAGCTTTTTGGTCATATAGTCTAGGTCAGGGGTTAGCAAACTTTTAAGCTGGAAGAGTTATCCAGACATAGGAACAAAGAACACGTATCACTTACTCCACTGGAAGTAATAATGTTTCGTTTAGTCTTGCATACGTAGTCTTGGTCTTACATATTTGTGTTTTAGTCTTGGCTTTCTTTGTCCGGTCTTGGTTTTGGTCTTGGCCTTGTTATTTCAGTCTTAGTTTTCGTCTTGCTAGTATGAAGATGGTGCAATTTTGTTCATACCTAATCCTTAACTGTTTGTGAATAGTAATCTAATCTACTCCTCTTTACGTCTATTTCTGCTTCTAATATGACTCTAACTAGCCTTTCATGCATGAGAAGGTGTCTACCAACCTATTTCACCTATTTCTTATTGACTTCCGTAGTGCTCTCTGTTCTCCTACGGTTTCTAATACCTCCTCTTTCTAATTTTATCTATCTCATCATTGGCCTGTAACACCACAATTGAAACGCTTCTAATCTTTTCTTTTTCTTTGCGCCCACTGTCCATGTTTGGCATCCATAGAGCGCTGTGCTCCAGACATACACCTTTAAAAATCTTTTTCCGAATTTCTAATTTAACCATTCACGAGCATAGAAGTGACTTCTTTTTGTTGAAGGTGATCGACCCTGCACTATCCTCTGTTTTATATCTCGACTTCTCCTTCCATCCTGAGTTATCTGACTTCCTAGATACCGAAAATCATCCACTTCTAATTTTTAGTCTCCTATCTTTATATGCCTCTTTTCCTACTTTTTCTTCCCTTACGTACCAATATTATTGTTTTTACAATACTGTTTTGTCAATACCGCATCCGTTTTATTTAAGGCTATCTTTATTAATATTAAATTTTAACCAACGATACTTTAAACTTTATTANTCTTTGAGCTTACTTCCCTTTTTACTTAACGTCTTATCTGTTGTGCCTCTCCTTCGTGTAAAGATGCCCATTATCTTAATAGATCCAGAAACTTCTGAGTCTAAATAAAGGAAGACAGTTTTTGCCATCGTAAATGTCTACAGGGTGATTAGGGTGACGCATTATTACTTACGTAGATATGTAATAAATAAGGAAGAGAAAATACCTTATAATAAACGGCGAAGTTTGGTTAGAGAATTTGTGTCCATTACATGAGATTAAAACTCGTTATAAACGTTTATATTGAGCATTTACATTAATACGAAGTACTATTGCTGTCCTTCCTCATCACGCGAATTATTTCACTCAATTGTTTTTTTACGATGTTCTATTGTTTGACAGTTCGTTATAACCGGTTACTTTGCGATTGTTTGTAGCCACATAAATTACATTCACTCCTTCCTTACGTTTTCTTCCCTTCCATACCAATATTTTTGTTTTAATTTTATTTATTTTCATACCACACTAGTTTGTCAATACCGCTTCAATTTTATTTGGGGTTATCTCTAGTGCTACATTGAATATTAAATTTTACTTAAACTTACGCATTGTCGGTAGCTTCTAAAATTGAAGTTGGAGCTGTGCTCAAAACGTATTTCACAATTTCTTTGTGACTATTTCTCACAGCGTGATGTAAGATGGTCTGCCCCGAGGAATCCGTTGTCGTTAAGGAATGTCCCATGGAATGTACCTTTTTTATCTGCAGTGAAAAATGCCCTTTTAGAAAGTACTTCTACTGGCGATCCATCTATTTAAAAACCACTTACCGTTTGCAAATCTCCCACAATAGCAGCTTTTATAAGGGCTTCGTTGGGCTTTTCGATTACATCGCTTTAAAACAGAAATATGAAAGAGGATGTGGAATTTGTAAACAACTTTAAATAATAATCGTTATTGGTACATAGTAACGTTGAGTTTTTATTAATCTGAATCAAGATTTTGTAAATTGTAAAAAAAAATGGTAAAANCGAATGTGGCAGTAGTCTGACTAGCTGTATTTTCGAAGAAAAATGGTTCGATGTTGGATTTGGGTCAAAATCCGCACCAAACAGTGACACCTTGTGGATGCAATTATTTCACTCGTGGATTCTCTGAAACCCGAATGTGGCAGTAGGCTGACTAGCTGTATTTTCAAAGAAAAATGGTCCGATGTTGGCTCTAGCTCAAAATCAGCACCAAACAGTGACACGTTGTGGATGCAATTATTTCAGTCGTGGATTCTCTGAACCCCGAATGTGGCAGTAGTCTGACTAGCTGTATTTTCGAAGAAAAATGGTTCGATGTTGGATTTGGGTCAAAATCCGCACCAAACAGTGACACCTTGTGGATGCAATTATTTCACTCGTGGATTCTCTGAAACCCGAATGTGGCAGTAGGCTGACTAGCTGTATTTTCAAAGAAAAATGGTCCGATGTTGGCTCTAGCTCAAAATCAGCACCAAACAGTGACACGTTGTGGATGCAATTATTTCAGTCGTGGATTCTCTGAACCCCGAATGTGGCAGTAGTCTGACTAGCTGTATTTTCGAAGAAAAATGGTTCGATGTTGGATTTGGGTCAAAATCCGCACCAAACAGTGACACCTTGTGGATGCAATTATTTCACTCGTGGATTCTCTGAAACCCGAATGTGGCAGTAGGCTGACTAGCTGTATTTTCAAAGAAAAATGGTCCGATGTTGGCTCTAGCTCAAAATCAGCACCAAACAGTGACACGTTGTGGATGCAATTATTTCAGTCGTGGATTCTCTGAACCCCGAATGTGGCAGTAGTCTGACTAGCTGTATTTTCGAAGAAAAATGGTTCGATGTTGGATTTGGGTCAAAATCCGCACCAAACAGTGACACCTTGTGGATGCAATTATTTCACTCGTGGATTCTCTGAAACCCGAATGTGGCAGTAGGCTGACTAGCTGTATTTTCAAAGAAAAATGGTCCGATGTTGGCTCTAGCTCAAAATCAGCACCAAACAGTGACACGTTGTGGATGCAATTATTTCAGTCGTGGATTCTCTGAACCCCGAATGTGGCAGTAGTCTGACTAGCTGTATTTTCGAAGAAAAATGGTTCGATGTTGGATTTGGGTCAAAATCCGCACCAAACAGTGACACCTTGTGGATGCAATTATTTCACTCGTGGATTCTCTGAAACCCGAATGTGGCAGTAGGCTGACTAGCTGTATTTTCAAAGAAAAATGGTCCGATGTTGGCTCTAGCTCAAAATCAGCACCAAACAGTGACACGTTGTGGATGCAATTATTTCAGTCGTGGATTCTCTGAACCCCGAATGTGGCAGTAGTCTGACTAGCTGTATTTTCGAAGAAAAATGGTTCGATGTTGGATTTGGGTCAAAATCCGCACCAAACAGTGACACCTTGTGGATGCAATTATTTCACTCGTGGATTCTCTGAAACCCGAATGTGGCAGTAGGCTGACTAGCTGTATTTTCAAAGAAAAATGGTCCGATGTTGGCTCTAGCTCAAAATCAGCACCAAACAGTGACACGTTGTGGATGCAATTATTTCAGTCGTGGATTCTCTGAACCCCGAATGTGGCAGTAGTCTGACTAGCTGTATTTTCGAAGAAAAATGGTTCGATGTTGGATTTGGGTCAAAATCCGCACCAAACAGTGACACCTTGTGGATGCAATTATTTCACTCGTGGATTCTCTGAAACCCGAATGTGGCAGTAGGCTGACTAGCTGTATTTTCAAAGAAAAATGGTCCGATGTTGGCTCTAGCTCAAAATCAGCACCAAACAGTGACACGTTGTGGATGCAATTATTTCAGTCGTGGATTCTCTGAACCCCGAATGTGGCAGTAGTCTGACTAGCTGTATTTTCGAAGAAAAATGGTTCGATGTTGGATTTGGGTCAAAATCCGCACCAAACAGTGACACCTTGTGGATGCAATTATTTCACTCGTGGATTCTCTGAAACCCGAATGTGGCAGTAGGCTGACTAGCTGTATTTTCAAAGAAAAATGGTCCGATGTTGGCTCTAGCTCAAAATCAGCACCAAACAGTGACACGTTGTGGATGCAATTATTTCAGTCGTGGATTCTCTGAACCCCGAATGTGGCAGTAGTCTGACTAGCTGTATTTTCGAAGAAAAATGGTTCGATGTTGGATTTGGGTCAAAATCCGCACCAAACAGTGACACCTTGTGGATGCAATTATTTCACTCGTGGATTCTCTGAAACCCGAATGTGGCAGTAGGCTGACTAGCTGTATTTTCAAAGAAAAATGGTCCGATGTTGGCTCTAGCTCAAAATCAGCACCAAACAGTGACACGTTGTGGATGCAATTATTTCAGTCGTGGATTCTCTGAACCCCGAATGTGGCAGTAGTCTGACTAGCTGTATTTTCGAAGAAAAATGGTTCGATGTTGGATTTGGGTCAAAATCCGCACCAAACAGTGACACCTTGTGGATGCAATTATTTCACTCGTGGATTCTCTGAAACCCGAATGTGGCAGTAGGCTGACTAGCTGTATTTTCAAAGAAAAATGGTCCGATGTTGGCTCTAGCTCAAAATCAGCACCAAACAGTGACACGTTGTGGATGCAATTATTTCAGTCGTGGATTCTCTGAACCCCGAATGTGGCAGTAGTCTGACTAGCTGTATTTTCGAAGAAAAATGGTTCGATGTTGGATTTGGGTCAAAATCCGCACCAAACAGTGACACCTTGTGGATGCAATTATTTCACTCGTGGATTCTCTGAAACCCGAATGTGGCAGTAGGCTGACTAGCTGTATTTTCAAAGAAAAATGGTCCGATGTTGGCTCTAGCTCAAAATCAGCACCAAACAGTGACACGTTGTGGATGCAATTATTTCAGTCGTGGATTCTCTGAACCCCGAATGTGGCAGTAGTCTGACTAGCTGTATTTTCGAAGAAAAATGGTTCGATGTTGGATTTGGGTCAAAATCCGCACCAAACAGTGACACCTTGTGGATGCAATTATTTCACTCGTGGATTCTCTGAAACCCGAATGTGGCAGTAGGCTGACTAGCTGTATTTTCAAAGAAAAATGGTCCGATGTTGGCTCTAGCTCAAAATCAGCACCAAACAGTGACACGTTGTGGATGCAATTATTTCAGTCGTGGATTCTCTGAACCCCGAATGTGGCAGTAGTCTGACTAGCTGTATTTTCGAAGAAAAATGGTTCGATGTTGGATTTGGGTCAAAATCCGCACCAAACAGTGACACCTTGTGGATGCAATTATTTCACTCGTGGATTCTCTGAAACCCGAATGTGGCAGTAGGCTGACTAGCTGTATTTTCAAAGAAAAATGGTCCGATGTTGGCTCTAGCTCAAAATCAGCACCAAACAGTGACACGTTGTGGATGCAATTATTTCAGTCGTGGATTCTCTGAACCCCGAATGTGGCAGTAGTCTGACTAGCTGTATTTTCGAAGAAAAATGGTTCGATGTTGGATTTGGGTCAAAATCCGCACCAAACAGTGACACCTTGTGGATGCAATTATTTCACTCGTGGATTCTCTGAAACCCGAATGTGGCAGTAGGCTGACTAGCTGTATTTTCAAAGAAAAATGGTCCGATGTTGGCTCTAGCTCAAAATCAGCACCAAACAGTGACACGTTGTGGATGCAATTATTTCAGTCGTGGATTCTCTGAACCCCGAATGTGGCAGTAGTCTGACTAGCTGTATTTTCGAAGAAAAATGGTTCGATGTTGGATTTGGGTCAAAATCCGCACCAAACAGTGACACCTTGTGGATGCAATTATTTCACTCGTGGATTCTCTGAAACCCGAATGTGGCAGTAGGCTGACTAGCTGTATTTTCAAAGAAAAATGGTCCGATGTTGGCTCTAGCTCAAAATCAGCACCAAACAGTGACACGTTGTGGATGCAATTATTTCAGTCGTGGATTCTCTGAACCCCGAATGTGGCAGTAGTCTGACTAGCTGTATTTTCGAAGAAAAATGGTTCGATGTTGGATTTGGGTCAAAATCCGCACCAAACAGTGACACCTTGTGGATGCAATTATTTCACTCGTGGATTCTCTGAAACCCGAATGTGGCAGTAGGCTGACTAGCTGTATTTTCAAAGAAAAATGGTCCGATGTTGGCTCTAGCTCAAAATCAGCACCAAACAGTGACACGTTGTGGATGCAATTATTTCAGTCGTGGATTCTCTGAACCCCGAATGTGGCAGTAGTCTGACTAGCTGTATTTTCGAAGAAAAATGGTTCGATGTTGGATTTGGGTCAAAATCCGCACCAAACAGTGACACCTTGTGGATGCAATTATTTCACTCGTGGATTCTCTGAAACCCGAATGTGGCAGTAGGCTGACTAGCTGTATTTTCAAAGAAAAATGGTCCGATGTTGGCTCTAGCTCAAAATCAGCACCAAACAGTGACACGTTGTGGATGCAATTATTTCAGTCGTGGATTCTCTGAACCCCGAATGTGGCAGTAGTCTGACTAGCTGTATTTTCGAAGAAAAATGGTTCGATGTTGGATTTGGGTCAAAATCCGCACCAAACAGTGACACCTTGTGGATGCAATTATTTCACTCGTGGATTCTCTGAAACCCGAATGTGGCAGTAGGCTGACTAGCTGTATTTTCAAAGAAAAATGGTCCGATGTTGGCTCTAGCTCAAAATCAGCACCAAACAGTGACACGTTGTGGATGCAATTATTTCAGTCGTGGATTCTCTGAACCCCGAATGTGGCAGTAGTCTGACTAGCTGTATTTTCGAAGAAAAATGGTTCGATGTTGGATTTGGGTCAAAATCCGCACCAAACAGTGACACCTTGTGGATGCAATTATTTCACTCGTGGATTCTCTGAAACCCGAATGTGGCAGTAGGCTGACTAGCTGTATTTTCAAAGAAAAATGGTCCGATGTTGGCTCTAGCTCAAAATCAGCACCAAACAGTGACACGTTGTGGATGCAATTATTTCAGTCGTGGATTCTCTGAACCCCGAATGTGGCAGTAGTCTGACTAGCTGTATTTTCGAAGAAAAATGGTTCGATGTTGGATTTGGGTCAAAATCCGCACCAAACAGTGACACCTTGTGGATGCAATTATTTCACTCGTGGATTCTCTGAAACCCGAATGTGGCAGTAGGCTGACTAGCTGTATTTTCAAAGAAAAATGGTCCGATGTTGGCTCTAGCTCAAAATCAGCACCAAACAGTGACACGTTGTGGATGCAATTATTTCAGTCGTGGATTCTCTGAACCCCGAATGTGGCAGTAGTCTGACTAGCTGTATTTTCGAAGAAAAATGGTTCGATGTTGGATTTGGGTCAAAATCCGCACCAAACAGTGACACCTTGTGGATGCAATTATTTCACTCGTGGATTCTCTGAAACCCGAATGTGGCAGTAGGCTGACTAGCTGTATTTTCAAAGAAAAATGGTCCGATGTTGGCTCTAGCTCAAAATCAGCACCAAACAGTGACACGTTGTGGATGCAATTATTTCAGTCGTGGATTCTCTGAACCCCGAATGTGGCAGTAGTCTGACTAGCTGTATTTTCGAAGAAAAATGGTTCGATGTTGGATTTGGGTCAAAATCCGCACCAAACAGTGACACCTTGTGGATGCAATTATTTCACTCGTGGATTCTCTGAAACCCGAATGTGGCAGTAGGCTGACTAGCTGTATTTTCAAAGAAAAATGGTCCGATGTTGGCTCTAGCTCAAAATCAGCACCAAACAGTGACACGTTGTGGATGCAATTATTTCAGTCGTGGATTCTCTGAACCCCGAATGTGGCAGTAGTCTGACTAGCTGTATTTTCGAAGAAAAATGGTTCGATGTTGGATTTGGGTCAAAATCCGCACCAAACAGTGACACCTTGTGGATGCAATTATTTCACTCGTGGATTCTCTGAAACCCGAATGTGGCAGTAGGCTGACTAGCTGTATTTTCAAAGAAAAATGGTCCGATGTTGGCTCTAGCTCAAAATCAGCACCAAACAGTGACACGTTGTGGATGCAATTATTTCAGTCGTGGATTCTCTGAACCCCGAATGTGGCAGTAGTCTGACTAGCTGTATTTTCGAAGAAAAATGGTTCGATGTTGGATTTGGGTCAAAATCCGCACCAAACAGTGACACCTTGTGGATGCAATTATTTCACTCGTGGATTCTCTGAAACCCGAATGTGGCAGTAGGCTGACTAGCTGTATTTTCAAAGAAAAATGGTCCGATGTTGGCTCTAGCTCAAAATCAGCACCAAACAGTGACACGTTGTGGATGCAATTATTTCAGTCGTGGATTCTCTAAACCCCGAATGTGGCAGTAGTCTGACTAGCTGTATTTTCGAAGAAGAATGGTCCGATATTGGCTTTGGGTCAAAATCCGTACCAAACAGTGACACGTTGTGGATGCAATTATTTCACTCGTGGATTCTCTGAACCCTGAATGTGGCAGTAGTCTGACTAGCTGTATTTTCGAAGAAGAATGGTCCGATATTGGCTTTGGGTCAAAATCCGCACCAAATAGTGACACGTTGCCGATACGTTTGTTTCACTCGTGGATTCTCTGAACCCCAAAAGCGTCAGATTTGTCGATTAACGATGCTATCACAAATAAAAATGAGTCTCATCGTTGGAGATGATCTGATTTGAAAAATCAGCGTCTAGTTTTTGTTGTTCCACAGTCCATTCAACGGACTGTCCTCGCTGTGCGCGATCGGTAAGCTCTAGTTTTTTTGAGTCAATTGAACATTGTAATAAGCATAAAGATCCAAATATCTCGCAAGAAAGCTTCTCGAAATGTCCATTTCTTGATTACGGTAGAATTGATGCTTGTTGACTCTCATTAGTCATTAGTTATTAGATGAGTTGTTCATCTGGTCTCTCTAAATTCTTCAATTAATCTCTTCACAGATAAATCACTATTCCGATCAAAAACTGTTTTGTATAAACATTTCAAATTGTAGTCGTCAGTTCTTCATTATGTTTTCATAATATTGCTCACCAACGAAAACGCGTCGCTTCTTCATGAAACGCACCATTTTCAATTACCCTGACTGGCTTTTTTTCTTCGTTGGTTAACACTTTACTGCACAAGTGGTGCAAAATCCAAATTTTGCCTGAATTTTGGGACACTCGTCGTATTTACAGTATCAACTATTTGATTTGTTATACATTTTATGATACATAGGTACTGCATGCAATATATTATACTTTGAATATTTGAATAAACGGATGCCTTTATTTGTTTAGTCTCAGTTCATAAACCGTGCTTTATAATCTACCAGGTCTGTTCAAAAAGTATCGCAAATTTTGTGTTTTTCCAAAAATAATTTATTTATTCATGAATATCTGTTTTGTCGCCTTTAAAGTAATCCCCACCCGATATTATACACTTGTGCCATCGTTTTCTTCAATCTTCGAAGTACTTCAAAAAATCATTTTTTGTGATCTTGTTCAGCTAATTTTTCGATGCCACCTGTATCTCCTCACTCGTAGCGTAGTGCCATCCGTTCATTGCCCTCTTCAGTTTCGGGAGCAAGAAGAAGTCATAGGGGCAGGATCTGGGGAATACGGTGGCTGCGGCATTATTAGTGTGTTGGTTTTGGCCAAAAATTCGCGCACAAGCAACGATATTTGAGCAGGGGCGTTATCATGGTGCAAAAGCCAATTTTTGTTCTTCCACAAATCCGGGCGTTTCTGGAGGAATGCTTGGCGCAAATTACGCATAACTTGCAGGTAATATTCTTTATTGACCGTTCTACCTTGGGGTAAGAACTCATGATGCACCATGCTTCTGAAATCGAAGAAAACTGTAAGCAAAGTCTTCACATCAATCTAATTGGGCGCGCTTTGTTTGGTCTTGGCTTGTGCGGCAGTTTCCATTGGGATGTTTGAGTTTAGGCTTCACGTCATAACCGTAAACCCATGATCCGTCAGGATCCGTTAAGAACCTCTGGAGTCTAACAGCTTATTAGCAATGTTAATGCGATGCTGGTGCTGTTTTGGTCGAAATTGAGCAATTTTGGTACGAATTTTGAGGCGACCCGTCTCATACCCATACCACCAATAAACGTTATTTCGGCTCAAGGTAACTGCACCAAATGTCACTGTCAACATTCGGAAAGCGCCGCGCACTTAATTTTGTTTTTGACACAAAATTTGATACAGATTCTTTGATCCAGTTTTGGAATAGGCACGTGTCAAAAATTCAATATGGCCGAACTTGTCGGTATAAGTGAGAGACACGAGTACCAACATAACGCCACAAAAAAATCGAAAATCGAATTTACGTAACTCGCGGAAATTCAAAATTCTCGATATTCTTTGAATAGACCTTGTATGTATGTATGTATGTATCTAATAGAACATTTGCACTATATAAGCATAATAGTTCATGTTCGCAGTGCGGATACTAGACAGTAAGTACGTTAGGCGTTGCAGTTTTCTTGCTTAATTTGAAACACAAACCTAAACGGTTAACTTTTCATTAAAACATACTGAAAGGAGTTTCCACCGGCATTGAAGCGAAGATTTTACATTCGCCTGCTTTTGTTACATTATCTTGTTAACGTGTTATTCAAAGCTTATTAATACCCTCAAGACAAAGAGCCTTCCTTCATCATCAACATGCAAACAGCAGAAGGATTTTATGAATAGACGTTTTTGAGTAAGTCAGTTAGTTAGTTTGAAAATGCACAACAAAATAATAAGGAAAGAAATTAACGTTAACGATGACTGGCTACCGTAATTCATAACGAAAAGGTGATAAAAAATTGACACGTTTAATTAAAACTAATCATAAGATAAGTACAAAGACACCTCAGCCTGCGTGTTCAATAACTGACGCTGCTAACGTAAAACACATATTCTATTACCTTTATTATTAATAATAGAATCGCTATTCAAGGTGATACAATAGCTTTCCCTGCTACAAAACGTTTTTGTATGTTCTTCGAAATTATAAAGGGGATAAAATTGCTTCTCTATGTAGAGGTGGTTTAGAATTTCGTGGGCTATTATTTTCTGTTACGCAGTGACAAGAATCCGCCTTTCCTTTGATTGCCTGCCTCTTATTATATACTAAAAGCATTGTCCGTCTAGCAATCATTCTTTACATGGTTAACAGTCAAATTAATGTTTTTGAAGTGTACAATGTAAGTGTAATGAAACCTCGTGCATTTCGCGGCCCAGGACATTTTAAAAATACCTTTACTTATCAGGAAGTGTATCCGAATTCGTTTAAATTTTTGGTATGTTATGCAGTTCACTGTATATGATTTTGGAGCTTTTAAAAAGCAAAAGTAGTAAGAAAACCAATACCAACCTTAACCTAACTTAACCTAATTTGAAGAATGCTTCTTTTTACGAGCACATTTCTGAGAAAAACGTTCGTGTTGCCTTTTCCTACTGAAACTGCGCCTAAGCAATCAACTATAACTTCACCTAATTGAACTATAACCGAATACTGCTTTTATTTAATTTTGCTTAAGAAAGTAAGGTTAAAAAAATTAATTTGACATGGAGAAACAATCCCTAGCGAATAGTGTGCTATTGCTTTTGATTAATTTTTTAACGAGCTGTACCATCGCAGTTGGAATAGGAGACGTGATTAAGACTGTCGCGAATTTTGAACGTTTCAAACAAAGTTGGGAAATGTAATCGAAATTGTTTTAACGGTACCAGCCATCGCGTAAACACTGACTGTAGTAGCGGCAGGTCATTTAACTTACCTTTTAATTTTAATAGCGTTGTAAATGTTCAGGCGCCTTTCCCCGTTTTGTTTATCGACCGGAATGGGTTGCTGTACGTCGTCGTCGGGTGAGAGGGCGGTTTTCGGCGAAATTGGGGGATGATCGCTGGGCGAATCCAGACTACCCTCACTACTGCAACTTACAAATTAACACAATAATTCAAATGAAACATTAATACATATTGAAGTGTTCAAAAATCAAAACGCATTAAGTATTTCGTAACAGAACATCCAGGTTGAGGTCAATTTAAGAAGGCGAGGTACATAATAAGTTTTGAATAAAAGTAGAAGTATCTACATATTTTACTACTTTGTAACATTCATATGAGGTCAATTTATGTACAACAAGGCTGGGTACATAATTAATCTATCAGTAAAAAAAAAAAATAAAACTAAAATATTTTTGTCATTGTCAAAAAAAGTTTAAAATTCATGTTTACCATCATTTAAGATTAAGAATAACATTAACAATATATTAACCAGGTATGTAAAGATAAAGTCTACAATATAACGGATAAAGTAAGTTAGGATTTATGTTCAGCAATTTCACAGTCAAGCATCGAAGAAGGAGAAGAAATTAAAAAGAAACAGTTAAAAGAGAAACTCACCTAACTTTCATTTCAGGTACCATGTAGGTGGTGTGCATTGAACTGGCTGAGGGAACGGTAGCATCGTCGTCGGGAGTTTGAGGTACTGTGACGCTACCGCAATCGAGGATGTAAAGAGATTCGTACGCTATGTCCGAAACGTAGTGTAGATGCTCTTGAGCTTTGTCGATACGAAAAAAACGCTCTGCTGTACACGCTGTTCGGGGTTAACCAAATGACAAAATTAGGCTACAGAAATTTTATACGGTGTTCATAACTTTTTGTAAAAAACATCATCCCGTACCTTCCGAAATTTCAAGATACTTCGTTTTAATTTGTTTGTTTAGTATAATTCTTGAGTAATTAGAAATTAAAATACATGACTGATCGTCGAAACCGATTTGTCTGCTGTATACAGTAGTTTTAGGTTTTGTTTTAGTTAATAACAACCTTGAGAACGCCATCTGTAGGCTACAAATTGGAATCCGTTAAGTAGGCGGAGCTTAAACAACATGGCGCCGGTGAAGGAGCATTTTTCAGGATCCTTACGTCATAACGTGCAACTTAACTTCTTGATAATAATTTTGTTTAATTAAAAAATTTAGCCCAAGTAAGAGAAGGACTTCCCTTTTAAGATAAATGTCGGAAATATTAAATTTATTAAGTAATAACTCCATACGATATTAGAAATTAATGATTTTCGAAAATTCATCAACAAAAAGGCTTGCCTAAATTTAAAACAATTATCAATATATTTTAGAAGAAGTTAACTTCTTAAAATAATTCAACTTCATGTCATTTAGTAGCGCGATAAAACTAGCAGATAATCATCGTTTCAATTAATTAATAAATATTTTTAATTATGCACTTACAATCGAGAAAACACCATTCGGCAGGTTTCGTTTGATTACATTCTTCCATATACTGGTCGATTTGGGCTCTGACCTGTTCCAAATCGGACATAGGATTTACTTCTATCGTGCCGACCTTGATGGCTGTAATAAAAAAGGAAATCTCAATAAAATGATGAAAGTATTTTTTCATTCATTACGAAGATTATATGCTCCATGCTGTATTGCAAACGATCGGGTAATAAAAAGTTACGATATGCGATGTCGGCAATAATGCGGGTGCAGGAACGGAGTCGTTTAAGTGGATCATTAATTAAATTATACAAGAACATAACGTCATTATTCACTATCTAAGCCGTTGTCCTTAAATTGTGTGACCTGAATCGCAGCTATCCATTTAACATTCATTAGTAGATCTTAATAGTTTTCCTAGCTGGTTATAGTAGCTTTAAATAATAATTAAACGTATCTACTTTGTAATTCCAAAATGATAAGTTAATTAGTATTTGCTATTCATTGAAACAACCTATACAAGTCGATCCAATTACTCAAATATTAATACAGTATTGGGATCCGTTAAATGGGCATACACCAAATGTGGTGGCAAAATTTATAACTCGAATGAGGGAAAAATTTACATATGAACTGTGCACGCAAATTGTAAAATTGTTTATTAAAATAGTAAAGCACGTTAAAAAAGTAAAAAGTTTTTTGATGATGGAGTCGACGAAGTTTTCTTCTAAAGTTAAATCAAATAAAAAGTTAATATGTTCAGTGAAAAGCTGCAATAGCACTTCAGAGATAGATCCATTAACTACTTTCCAATAAAAACTGAGCGTTTTATATATATAAAAAATATATTTGGAAAATTAGAGAAAAAAGTAAACTAATAGAAGCTTGGATGAAAGCAGTAGGTATCAAAGAAGTGAATTCCGGAATAAAAATTTGTTCACGTCATTTTAATGCACATGATTATATTTCAGCAAGTATTTACCATCAGCCGTAACCTTAATATTTAAAATTAAAATCATAATAAAATTATAAAGTGAGAAATTATCTATTCCTGTGTAATTGATTTAACACAATTCTAATGATACGATATAAGTATTTTGAGGTTAAGTACCTACCTGCTGCAATACAACACAGTTGCAATAATGTATTTGCAACGTTCTCTTAAATCGGCTTTGCACGTGCAAGTCATTGATATGATATTGCTTAAATCACCTAGAATCACCTCACCAATTATATAACGTGAATCACTTTTTAAATCCAACGTTTGGAAAAAGTAGACAGTAAACTTGACGGAATTTGAAGGCTAGCTTCCGAATTTGTTATTTCCGAATTTTATAATGCGATTGGCATTAAAAACACGCTCACCTTCAACGAAATTTCCTTTCCGAGGCTTTGTGTCAGCCCAATCACATATTGTGTCAATACTTATCATTTTATCGTAATTTAAAAACTTGGAAATTGCAGGGTACACTATAGGAACTACGATAAATTTTCCCTAATCGGCCCCATGTTTGTAGTCTCTTCCCATTTGACGGATCCCAATAGCAACAATATTTCCGTGAGACAATTAATATTAAAAGTTATCTCATAGAGGAGCTAGCAGTAGTGAGTGAAGGATGTTGAGTGTAGGAACTACGATAAATTTTCCCTAATCGGCGCCATGTTTTTAGGCTCCTCCCATTTGACGGATCCCAATACTCTCTATTATTTTTATCTGTAGTTGAAGGTACTTATCAAACCCCAATTCCAAGGTTTTCCAAATTTTTAGATAGCCTTACTTGAAAAAGGCAAAGGAAGTCATATAAAAAGAGTTATTTCCGAATTTTGGACTAAAATTGTTTTTTAAGAAATAAGGAAAATAGGTAGGTAAGTAAGTAAGTAATCCAAAAGGAAAATCTGCTCTACAAGTCGTCAATAAAAATAGTAAACCGTATTCTTGCAGGGTTTCTTCTTCATTATATTAGTTAGAATTTTGATTTCCATGTTATTATGAAACTATTATCTGTTTCCACATTTACTTCTAATTTTAATGTACACTTGTAGGTATACTTATTAAATTAGTGGGGTCTTAATTCAAATTATTTAATTCATATTAAAGTGAAGGTTTAAATTCTACGACAGAAGTTGACAAAATGTGGGTCATGACTCACAAGGTATAATGTTAAAACTTTCCACTACGAATTGATTTCAAGGGATATTTCGTATTCTAATTCCCCAATCCGTATGTTTCTGCTGTAATAACGATGTCAACTTTTTGACGGACTGGGGGATTACAGCGTATGGTCTCGAGGGATTTCTATACATACAAATATCGGAAGAGATTACGTCATTTTCACAGAGTTGTCAGTTCAAGAACTGGTGGATACGCACCTTCACTTATTTCTATTTTGAGTCAATCTTCAAATTTTTTCAAACTATTTGAGATTAGTAACCCAATTTAGGATTATTTTGTCCACTCTTTACTCCTCTTCTCATTCACAACCATTTCTATTCTTTTCAATGTCCGTCTACAATACTACATTTCAAATGATTCTAACATTTTCTTTTCTGCTGCACCGACTGTTTACGTTTTACACCAATACACAGTTTTGTTACAAACATATGTTCTTAAAAATCTTTTTCGAATTTTCATTCAATTTTACCCTTTTTACGCCTACTCTGACGTTATTGTAATCAGCTGTTGTTAGCCATCTTTGACAACTGTCATCGTCAGCCATCTATTTGTATCGGATGCTCCTGCAGCCTTATGATCAGGAAGCAACAGATGAAGGGCCTTAGGGGCAGATTACTCGCAAAAGGCGAAGAGTATCCGGATAAGTGGCGAAGCCATGACGAAAACATGACTAACAATGACAGCTGTCAAATATGGCTGACAACAGCTGATACCGGTGACGTTAGAGTAGGTGTGGAAGAGGTAAAACTGAACGAACAGAACGAAAAAGAAAATGCATAAGTAGGACTTTGGTTCCGGAAGGAGGTTGCTTATCTACTGTTTCTAATTTTTAGGTTACGTGTGAAAGTCCTCCATCATCAATCCAAATTTGGATAGGTTCAATTAGACTTTCAATAATGTTACCATTTATGATTGTAGTTATCATTACCTGACTGCGTTAGCATATCCCTGTCGTAGTGATGCTGTTCATAGTCCCTCATCGCGATTCTGTGCACCTGGATGGTAAGATCTTCGAGTGGTACACGTGGTACATGGTGTTTTCCGCCTCCTTTTCGTTTCGCCAGCATGGTGGCCTTGTTGAGCAACGTTAGATTAATTATCGATGGGGCCAGTTTACACGCTTCTCCATCAACTTGCATTGGAATCGTCTTCGAAGTGACGATCCTCGCGTTCTTGCATTGAGTGATGCATGTACCGTGACCACCTGCTTGGAGAAGAGGCTGAAAATGAAAATTAATGATTGACAAAAGGCCCAGAGGTCCTGTTTATATAATTGTGCATACCAGCTGATAGGTCGTCAGACCCACAACTTCGATTAGACCGTCGTCAGTGCTTGGTTCCGATGATCCCATTGCCCTGTTCCAGGGCCTGGTACCACCACCATAACTGAAAGATAATGTTGTTGTAAAGGCAGTAAGCACCTATGTTTGACAGTCATTATATAAGATATTATTTGCCTGTCAAAAGGGCAACAATAGCAGTAAAAAAATCTTGTCTCATTTAACATTTCTAAAAGCTTTTTCTGAATCTATAAGTCCCATGTACGCGCTCTTTCCTTGTGTTATTATTTTCTACATCATCATCATCATAGGGTCGTCATAATATTTTATATGGCACGACTATGAAGAGATGCTGATGCTAGGGGTGACTAGATTTAATTAGCTCTAGGCGGTACCGAACCTAAATTCGCCACTGATGTTAGAAAATAAACTGACCGAATTTCGATTATACGCAATATCAGCAATAAAAAATTAATAGAACGTAAAGCACATTGACACTTAAAAGAGGCTAATATCCATGTTATAACTGACATGCTAGAATTATCTTAGAGTAATCGTTCATATATACCCATGTAAAATTTGAATCAGATGAATCAGACAATAAATTCGTTTTTAGAAGGCTTTGTCGTTTATAAGTGCAAATTCATGAAAATATAATTCGAGCATTATGATGAAGAAGATCGCACGTTTTATGATAATGATGTCATCTTCTGGAATAACGTCTTGGCTTTTTAATGCCATGTTGATTTGATTTGGAAAATCAATGACGATTACCTCTGAAAGGGACTGAAAGCTTTTAGTTATTATTAAAAAAAAAAATGGGCCCTGGATTCATAAATCGACTATAACTGCTTAGAAATCAGCGTTTAATTTCTAAGATGTTCTGAAAATAAATCGGAATTTGAGGAACTGAAAAATAAGTTTGATGGACATATTAGTGTAGAAAAAATATTCCCTTTTTCTTGATTATTGTTCGTAATATTAGCAAAAGAATGTAGAAAGCCAATTTTTAATTTACTTTTTTGTAACATTTCCGCAATAAATGTAATTATTCACGAAGTCCTAGAACTACTAATAGAATGAAAAATGGTTATCTAAAATCTTGGATCAATTCCATATCCTTTTAATATATATTTTTGAAAATTAATAAACTTGTACTTGGTAAAAAATGGGGAAAATTTTGGATAAATAGGGATGTAAAAAAGGGACGTAAATATTTAGCATTTGTATATCTAAGTGATCTGGATGATAAAATGAGTAATGCAAGGGAAGATGGGTTAGCATTGGGAAGGAAAAAAATATAGACTATTACACGTGCAGATGATATAGTGTTGGAGGCGGGTAATTGGGTGGGATTAAAGGAAATGGTAGGAAGACTGACGAAATACTTAATAAGGGAAGGTCATGGAAGTTGGGGGAATAAGAGAGAAAGGAGCGCAAGGGAAAAGCACAAAATAGTATGGAAGCAAGTGGAGATAGACAAGTATGTTTACCTACGATATATGTTAAGTGACAATAATAGGGATGATATTAATATTATAAATTAATTAAGTGGCTAAAGGAAGGGCAGTGATGGGAAGGTTACGGGGTTTAGCTCAGAAATTATGTAAGGAAAATTGGGGTAGAAGAATAATATTTCTTAATGGGATGATGAGGAGTATAGTGTTTTATGGGATGGAAATATAAAGATATATAAAGTGGGCATTAAGATTAGAAAAGGGTACGAGATATTATGTAATGAAGAACCAATAAAAAGAGTAGTAAAATATGAAGAGGGATTGGGAAAGCTAGAACAATTAAAAAAATATGGAGGAAGAAGGTAATGGAAATTGGGGCAAAAAGTAGATCAAGCAGAAGCAGATGAGGGGATGACTGAGGGAACGGATAAAGGTAGGAGAATTGACGAGGAATTGATGCAGAGAAATAATAAAAGGGGGCATTTAAGCAAAATAGAGAGATCTAGATATGCGGTGGGTGTAAAAAAGATAACATGGAGGGACTGGCAGGGGGGCCAGGTGCCAAGGTATTTAGAAAGAGGGAGAGAAATTAGTGTATAGACAAGATTTAGGACAGGGAATGAGAGTAGAGGATGTAGATACTGGCAAAAAGAAGAAGACGACGAAGAGAAGAGAGCTTGAAGCATGTGTTAGGAGGATGTAAGAATGGTGGGACGTGGGAAGAATTTTAAGACTTGGCAAGGAAGGATTGGGGTAGGCTGAGCCGTCTAAAGGAGATTTTAAGGAATAGGAGGGCAGAGTAGAAGGTAGGGCAGGGAATTAGGTGGGGGGAGTAGGAATAGGGTTAAAAAGAAGTGAATAATGCATTTTCTTGTTGGTTAAAGAAAAGCTTCAGTTTTAAATGTTTAAATGTTTCAATCAAATGGTTTAATTACAAAAGACAAAACGTACCTTGGAATGTTGAGAAATACAATCGCATGCACTTTGAGTTCTTTCAGCTTTGGCGTAAGATCACGTCCGTCACATTCTAAGGTAACTAATTCGGCGAGACCCTTCCATTTTCGCTTGAGAAGGTCCTTACCTCCCATTTGCCCGTAAAACATTTTATTTCTCAGTCTTGAATTAAATTTTTCAGGATGAGCCTCTAAAAATAAATACAGGACATAGGGTTAGGTTGGGTTGTGCTTCCCGTTGAAGAATTTATTCTGTATGCCCACGGGGCGACGGTACGTTTATTTTATGGAGGTGCGCCCAGAAAAACATGCCCCAATTGTAAATTATTTTACATGCGGGTGAATTTAACAGGCAATAACAACAAAAAAATAATAAAATTTACCTCTGGCTTCGTGAAATTCTAAAGCTATATGAGCATCGACACCGAGTGAAAAATAATTATTTACAACGTTCAACGGTAGATTATCCTTTCCGCCTTCGTTAGGGTCGGCGTCCGGATTTTTTTCCACTTCCAACGACCACCTGTCCAATAACACAGTTTCGCTATTGCTTATGTTCATAAGAATTTTTGAAATTGGTTCATCAGTGTATCCCTGGAAACAGAAAAAGTAAATACATGAAAAAAATGCAATTAAGCCGTCATTCGCGTAGGGCGCATACGTAATGTGCGTATCGAATGTTCAATTATGAGCAATTATTCTGAGAAATATGGAATCTTTCGTAGTAAAATAAATAATGGATTATTAAAGGATGAAATTTCGTAATCCAATTTACAAGAAAAAGAGAAGGTTAAATAATTGAAAAAAAATTAATTATTATTTTAAACTTATTACGTAACGGAACTAGAGGCTAGCGAATCATTTTTATTTTGGCTTTGTGGAACCAATAGATAAACATTCTTTTGCAAGGTAGAAGGTAACTAAAATAAATTTGGAATAAATTCCAGGCTGCTGTTCTAAAAATAGGGTTTTCTAGAAAGAAAAACAAAAATTCTTTTAGAAGAATCCAACCCTGTTTAATAATAGCGTACCGTAAAAAATGCTGAAAATTCACATTGTCTACAAAATTAATATGTAAATAAATAAAATTGAAGACCACTCCTCATAATGCAACATAATAAAAAAAACTACCTAATCGATGGAGTGGTTTGAACTCCTTAACCCCCCCCCCCCGCAGCTAGGCCGCTGCTGTTTTGAAGTCTGCCACTGTGTATTTGATACTCTTTTATTTTTCCGACAGTTTTTAAATGCTTTTATATTTTATTACGAAAACAGTTTTTTTGCCGAAACAGTTAACCAGTTAACAAATTTTAACAAAATCGTTGTTGTAATTAGTTAGTTTGGGAGAGATCGTGAAAATATTTAGAACCGGAGTCGAAATTAGAACTGCTTTTCTTAGATAAGCTGGGGGAAATTATACAAAAATTTTTATGAAGACATTTTTGTCACTACAGCCCAAGAACCGGCTAAGAAATTCTCTAGTATCATTTATATATATACAAGGAAAATAATAGAGGAACACCATTACTTAAGTTATGATATTCACTTACACAATTTACCCGTTGTTGCCTGTTCCTCAAAGAACAGTTTACGTGTTTGTGTACTTTATTGTATAATTGTATAATTTTTCGAATAAAATTTTGTCAGTAGCCCATAACTTTTTTTAATATCTATATATTGTATCTAATGATCGGTTTGTTATTTACTAACGTATAAGAATACAATAACAATCTGCCTATAGTTTTTTCATTTATCCGTTGCCATTCGTTTTTGCACTTGTCCGTTGAAGGATCACTTCCACTATGTGTCCCAGCACACATTTCGTTTTTCCAGGTTTACTGCAAATTATGATTTGGTTCTTACATAGACCGCAAATAGAGGCAAGGATGCCAAGCCACGTGGAGAACAGAGGTAAGAAAACAACAGCTCAGCACAGCACACGCCGTCGGGACTCTAGCGGACTACCGGCTCTCCGCGCGACTGCGCATTATATCTATCTAATATGGCCGTTGCCCTCTCTCCGCCTCCGTCAGCCTTTCTCTCCTTCCGCCGCTGTCGCCTCTCACCACGCTATATACCCCCTCCACGCGGCCGTAACGCTTTTTCGTGACAGAAAAAATCGTAATACTCGTCTATACAGAAGTTTTACTTCAAAAAGGAAAAAGGTATTTCATTCGTGACAGCAATAGATTTATGGGACGATTACAATAATTTCATTTGTAAGTGTATTATTAATGTAGTAGCCTGTGGATAAATTCGGTCAGTGTTTTATTGTTATACCTGGGAAAAGTGTCAATTATCAGGAGTGCCCCGCAGGCGGTAATTGTACTGCAATCGAATACAAAATATGCGTGTGTGAACGTACATATCCCCTGGAGATTTAGGGTTGCCGTTACACACAAGTGAATAATTAAACTGACCGGGTGGAACTTTTTATTTGCCTGGATATAGAACCACAACGGTGCGGTACCTTGATAAATATATTTATTAGGCTAAACGTACTTTGCAGCACATATTTTTAAAGCATATTTTGCTAAAAGGAATTTGTGCGATGGAGAGCGGTTTTATGATGAAATATTATTTTTTATCATACGACTACTAATTATGCACTTTGAAAACGAAAATGATAGAAAATAGATTCACTGCGGGTTTGCAAAACACTGTACAGCTTATAAACCAAATAAAGATAAGAACGTTTTCATAAATAATAAATGCGATGATCAAAGCTAGAAAGTGTGTTGGAATTCAGGTACCTACGCGACTATACGAGGTCTGTTCAAAAAGTATTGCAAATTTTGTGCTTTTCCTAAAATTATTTATTTATTCATGAATATCTATTTTATCCTCTTCAAAGTAATTCGCACCAGATATTATACACTTGTGCCAACGTTTTTTCCAATCCTCGAAGCACTTCAAAAAATCATTTTTTGTGATCTTGTTCAGCTCCTCTTTCGATGCCGTCTTTATCTCCTAAGTTGTAGCGTACAGTCGTCTTTTCATGGGCTTTTTTGGTTTCGGGAACAAGAAGAAGCCACAGGAGGCCAGATCTGGGGAATACGGTGGCTGTGGCATTATTAGTGTGTTGTTTTTGGCCAAAAATTGGTGCACAAGCAACGATGTGTCGGCAGGAGCGTTATCATGGTGCAAAAGTCAATCTTTGTTCTTTCACAAATCCGGGAGTTTCTGGCGGATTGCTTCGCGCAAATTGCGTGTAACTTGCCGGTATCATACCTTATTGATCGTTCTACCCTGTGGAAAGAACTCATGATATAGCAGGCCCTGCTTTTTTTCGGCCTTGGATCGTGCGGCAGCTTCCTTCGGGATGATTCAGCTTCGGCTTCCAAGTCATAACCATAAACCCATGATTCGTCACCAGTTGACCCTCTTGAGCAAATTTGGGTCGTAAAGGACAGAGTCTAACAGCTCCTTAGCAATGTTAAGGCAATGTTGTTTTTGGTTGAAATTGAGCAATTTTGGAACGAATTTCGCGGCGACCGGTCTGACATCCAAATCATTGGTAAAAATCGATATGTTTAGATCCTCAGCAACTCTCTAACGATGATTCGACGACTGGCCAATACTATTTTCTTCACATCAATGTTTTCGTCTGTTGTTGACGTGCTCGGGCGTGCGGCACGCTCTTCGTCGTTGACATCTTCTCGGACCCCTGAGAACATTTCGTACAACCACAGATTCTTTGATCCATTTTTTGGAATAGATAAAAATCGAAGACCAACCAAAACACGTACAAGCAAATCTGCTGCCAAAAATTAACTAAACATTCAACATGCCCAAATTTGTCGTTATAAGTGAGATACATGTGTACCTATATAACGCTACAAAACAATCGAAAATCGAATATACGTAATCCGCGGAAATTCAAAATTCTCTATACTTTTTTAACAGACCTTGTAAAATATTTGTACGGTATAAAAATCATTTTTAGACCGATTTTAAAAACGGCCGGGATTTAGAACGCTTTTATTGCGACCGTTTCGTTGATAAAAAGTGTTCACTGTTTGCTTAGATTTTATTCGCTTTGAAAATTTTAAACGAGAATTTTGTAAAATTAATAAGGAGAAATAATTGCTTCTGTCACGCTCCACCTGGAATAGAACTCAGGTTCTTGGCTGTTAGCATTATTGTTCTACCACTATACTAAACATTTGGTTGGCAAGATCGTCGTTGTTGCTAATTTTACTAATCACTAACAGTGGAGAGGAGAAGACTTGTGTTTTTATTTATAAGAACTATTGTAGATATTGTGAGCGCTTCATATTAGGGGTTCAGTTCAGTTTTTTCTGTTGTATTGGAATAAAAGACCAATACCAAAAACAAAACCGAATGAACAAGGATTGTGTTCCGAAATATAACCCGGTATACTGGCTGCTAATGACGTCGTGAATCAACGCCATACTGTTGATTCGTTCCGAAATATACTGGCCAGTGCGTTGACGTCTAATTAACGCCATATTGAGAATAGTGTTTGTGCTCGTTTACAACAATTTTGCTCCAAATGTTATTAACGTTTATTACAATAAAAAATTGTTCAAACTCCGAAGCACACACGCCCGTTTGATATACTGTTACGACACACTTGTTTCACCAGTACAATATGGTGGCACACCAGTACATTATGGCGTCNCTTCTCAATTTTAGTATAACATTGTACTCTTGATAAAGACGTAACACGTCGAAACAATTGTAGAGGTTTAAATAAAACTCTTTGAAACATAAAAAAAGCAATTTTCTTTTCTTTAATTTATTCTAAAATGTTTCAAAATACACCTACTGCGTCATCAATTAATATTATTAAATTTTAGTTCGGGTCGTGAATATTTGCATGATTTAATCGACATATAAACCTTTAGAATTCTCTAGAGGTCTAGAGTATAATACAATTTTAATACCGTTGTTCTTGAGACAAAATTCCCATTCCAAGTAATATTCCTACGTCAGTGTATTTCTCGATTCCTTTTCTCAAATTATCTCTTTATTAAGTGTTTTTTACATGGCCGCAATTTGTTTAGCGCATCATGATTGAAAATTTTGTCCTGTCTCGATAGAACTTTAATTAAATTAAATTAAACAAGGGCGAATAGCCCTGCGGAGGTGTATTTGTCAAGCGCCAGCTTCCTATTGGTGTAGAATTTAGAAAAACATCACGAATTGTTTTAATTAAATGCTTCGCCTAGTACCCATTTCTAGCTGAATTAAGTTTTTAACCGCTGTGTCTCGTTTTAATTTGTGGAATTCAATTAGTGCTCATTATTTTCTTTCTAGTTTATTTTGTTGATTTAATTTTTTAAAATTTTCGAAATACCTACCAGGCTCGATTATTTGAGAGCAGTGACTAGGCTCTATTATATGATATTTGCGAGCTATAGGTACTGACCAACCATGAAGATCGAAGATTTATGATATTTTTAGTGACATATGCGATCTTGATAGTGTACAAGTTAAAAGCTTGAAGTAGAAAAAAGCAAAACGAACATTGTGGCGGATGCGAAAAATAAATTCTGATATAATCATCATAAGGTCGTTAGTCCTAAGACTGGTTGGACACGCAACTCTACTCCTTCCTATCCTGAGCT